AGAGAGAGAGAGAGAGAGAGAGAGAGAGAGAGAGAAGGGGGGGGGGAGAGACAAAGCGTGTGAAATGTAGAACAAGAGTAAATAATAGGAGGGCAATTATTTATTCCTGTTATTATGCCACCTATTATTTATCCTATTAGTTATCTACCACCTTATTTCTCCTGATATAGATAGATGAAAATATAAAGAAAGCGAGAGAGACAGAGAAAGAGAGAGAAAGGGGGATAGATAATTAGATAGAGAGGGCGAGAGAGAGCGCGCGTGAGAAAGAGAGAGAGGAGGGGGGGGAAGAGCGCGCTTTGTTAACAATATTGTAATATTATCTATAGATATAATATATATATAAACCTAAAACTAGCCGTACAAATAAATATCACCGACAGTCGTGGAGCCAGCCTGCCAGCGCAGACAATAAAATCTATTATAACTGAATTAATTTTATAAATAATTTATTGAATCTTTTCATGTTAGCTATGGGATGTATATGTATATATAAATATCGCTACAATAAATCCCCCACATATATATATATATATATATATATATATATANGTGCGTGTGTGTGCGTGCGTGCGCGCGCTCGTGTGTGTGTGCGTGCGTGTGTGTGTGCGTGCGGGGGTGCGCGTGCGTGCGTGTGTGTGCGTGCGTGCGCACGCTCGTGTGTATAATCCGAAGTTTACAGGGGGCGTTGACAGCAGCCATCATGGAGTGAATAATGCACCTGTCCGTGCAGCCTGATATATTGAGCACTCCACTTATGTGTGGTCTATGTGTAATAAATACCAGCAAATGCAATCTTCACGACCGACCATTTTTCATTCAATCTATTCATCCATCAGGGAGCCATTGTTTGTCTGACGTTGCTCGCTGTTCAAAGGATCGTTGCGGGCAATGGAAAATTGACTTGAGGCACTTAGGGTCAATCACCACCATTGCTGAACGCGAATAGATGGGCGGAGAGCGACAGAGAAAAAGGGGAGAGAGAGAGAAAGGGAGGGTGTGTGAGAGAGAGAGAGAGTAACAAAGCGTGAACGCTGTGGATATATAGACAGATAGATGAAAAGAAAAAAAGAAAGAAAGATAGCTAGATGGATGGATGGATGGATAGATAGTTAGATAGATAGATTGATAGATAGATAGATAGATAGATAGATAGATAGATAGATAGATAGATGGGTA